AGGACAAACATGCACCAACTTGCTTGAGAGAGCAGAACGCTCAGCAGCAATAGTAGTGTGCGAAAGTCCACGCCCATCTACTTCCTGTGCATAGGGACCTTATTTTGGAAAAAATTTATGCCGTTTCTCAATCGTACGAGGTTCCTGGATCCGTTCGTAGTTTGCATACTTCCAAGTCATGCTTCGTTCAGACCAATGGAAGCAAGTATTCTTCCAAGCCACGGCTTCGGGAAAACAAAGAAAGAATGGAATAGGTAACAAGTGTGGCACTCTCTCTACGGTTTCAAGCATGAATACTGTACCGAAAATACATACCTCCATCTAGATTGTTCTTATCTAATTATGAACTGCTTTGTACTTTCACGGTAACGCATTTTTGGTGATTAACAAATGCAACAAAGTTACATATTTACAAACATGTTCTTGCGCACTCATACCTTACATTTAAATGTGTTGCTGTGCTGCGTCGGTTCCACAGGTCCATAATTCTTCGCTAGTTATTGAAATTGATGCGGTGGCATGCTTGTGGGATTAGCAGTCTACCATGGTGTCGAGCTCGAATTTCCGTAAACCAAGACGTGCCCTCGATGGACTTTCCGTTTGCATAGGTATATTGAACTGTCCTCCGTGCGCACTCGGAGACGTGAGGATCCTTGAATAGTCGGCTTGAAGCAGTTCCTCGCGATTGAACGGCCTTGTATTGAAGTCTCGATGAAGATTGAAAGCGTGCATCCCTTCATCGGACGTTGGAATTTGCCTGTGATGGAATTCTTCAAGTGATGCTTGAGATCAAATAATAAACAGAGTAAACTGTCAAGACACACTATAAATATGGATATGACAGCCTTCCTTCAGAGCTATCATGTGTGTACATCTCGACCAAATAAGAGAGTGCTGAAGATAGCCAGATATCCTTAACAATTGATTGGCTGCTTAGTACCAGTTGTCCTCATCGCAAGCATTGGGATTACGGCCTTCTGTATTGACGTCTGATGAAAAGGACACTAGAGTGTCTGTCGATCCAGTTGCTACTAGCTACGTAGCAAGCACTTGTATTACACATCACTGCCCTAGCGCTTGTCAATCTATTAGAACATGAATTAATATCCATGTAACTCAAAAAGTCACAGTAGTGTCGTATCATATTGCGTGAACCTTGAAGATACTGTCACACCGTGTGATCATTCTATAATACACCTTTAAGACCGGCAAAATGCTATGCTACATTAAAAAGATCAGGCAGTGTCAATCAAATGATCAGTCACAACCTGCTTTTGCATCGAATTCTTTGGCGTGTTTCATTGTATTGATAGTGATATAGTCAATCTATATTGACTAAGACATGTAACTTTCTCCAGGTCGATGTGTCTGTTGTTGCTAGACAAGAGATGTACACTAACAAACATCCCAGTGTCTTGCTTATCATGGCGTAGTCACCATGTGGTCTAGCTCAGTTCTTGAGTGACACGCACTACACCACTGATATGAAGGACTAGGAGTGCTGGATCAGAGTTAGCTACCTAGCTAGTCGGCACGGTTCAGGTTTAGCATTTACAGCCCTAGGCCTTGGTCATTTTTTATTAGCACTCTTAACTGCTGAGATGACTCAATAACATCAGAAGTAACACCAAAAAGTTAAAAGTTAATGTAAGTAGGTAGTGCATATTTCGTGAACCTTTGAAGAGTACTGTCACACGGTGTGAGTATCCATTATCTTTAATAGAAACACCATCTTAAGCACCGGGGGGAGAAATGCTTAATGCTACATTTAAAAAGGCATCAGGGCAGTTCAGAGAGATCAAAGGGAAGGCAGGGCAGGCAACTGCTTTGCATGACATTACTTCTGGTACCAGTAGTTTCACTATGTGATTTGAGTATGTGAGGGTAGTCTCATATCAATTTTTGACAAGATAGTAGCTGACGAGGGCCATCTTGCGGCGGTGCACCTGTGTTGTTGTGCGAGACCAGAGATGTACACAAACACAACATGCCGGGGGGACTATTACCCAGGAGGTGTGTTCCACCACTATGGGCCTTCTCAGTTTTTTGAGTGACAGCGCAACTTCACACAGATCAACAATGCTACACTCATGAAGAAAACTCCGACGCAGTCACGTCTGCCCGCTTAGATGTCGTTGGTGTCCTCCTGTGTCCGTTTTTCCCATGAACATATGCAGCGGACGTCAGGGTATTTTTAATGGAATTGCTGATGCATTATACTTGTGTTGTGTATTATATACTTTAATTCCATACTTTAAATTAATTTTAATATACCACTGAACTCACACTGCTCCCAATTTTTACTTCATGTTGCATGCTTGATTCATCTATCATATTACTATTTTTAAATATGATTAAAAAAACATACATCGTATGTATT